CTTGATTCTTTTATGGTGAAGTTATTCAAACCTTACCTCAATCAGGTAATGTTAGACAATACCTTGTTTGTTTTAGATTATGTTATACACACCTCACCTTAATCAGGTAATGTTAAAAAAAAAACTTGCTTCTTTTAGATGAAGTTATACAGACCTTACCTAAATTAGGTAATGTAAGGTTGGCCGTATATATATGTAATATAAGATTAACTTAATGGTAATGTATTATGAGGATGACCCTACCTCAGTGTAATTTCAGAATGAGCTTATGATAATATAATATATGTATAAACATATGTCAGTGAATTGTAAGGGGCGACCTTATGCCAATGCAATATACAGATAATAATAATAATAATAATAATAAAGTTCATTTCAAAAACACGCTTCATCCCCAAAGGCTCGAAGCGTGGTACAAAGTCAACAAAATACAAATCTATAATTTACCACATTTAAAATAAACGCAACACTACAAAAACTAATTACTAGCATACAATGGCAAAGTCTTTCTAGCCATTTCAACCCCAAGCAACACAGCCATTATGCATTAACTTATATCAATGTAACAAATGGATTAACGTGTGTCTGTGTAATGTAAGGGTGACTTTGTGTGAATGTATTATGAAGATGACCTTATATTAATGCAATTTAAGGGTGACCATATGTCAATGTAATTTAAGGATGACCATATGTCAATGTAGTTTATTGTAGCCTGAAGTCAATGCAATGAATTATCCTGTCTTTTCCTTTTGACCTGCAACATACCTTGTTACACTATCGTTTCTAGCGACATAACTCCAACATAGCGTCTATACCCACACAACCACCACACTTCGCCTCTATTCACTCGACTCCCACAGATTGTCTACACCCGCCCAACTTCCACATTACCCCCCCCCCCCAGGTTCCTCCAATGTGTCATTGTGACCTCCCCGTTTGATACAACAGAGAAAAACACATCGAGGTTCTGTGGAACTACACCAGCAGCCTCAACGTCCTTCACCCGTCCGAGTGGAAGGACAAGGTCAACGAGAGGCTCAAGGAGTTTGAACAGGAAATTTATGAGGTATGAGAACCACTGAGGTAAGTGTCGGACTTTGGTGCCCCCCCCCCCCGGGCCATCCATTTTTATTTTGTTTTGGCGAGGGGCGGGTTCTATTCCTCTTGTTTTCACTTGAATATTGTTTAGAGGTGGCGAGTACCTTAAAGAATATTTATCTTTTCATCAGTGGCGTGAGAAAGGGGGGTGCGGATAGGACGGGTGGGGGAGGGGGGGCGTGCCGCTACAGGGAGCACTTTTTTCTTTATAGAGAGAGAGAGAGGCGGCATTTTCGGCCATCTGCAGGATTTTTTTTTTACGTGGACAAGTGCGGCAAAATTCTTTTCCCGTCCCGGGCGCAGCTAACCCTGGCTACGCCACTGCCTCTCATGTCAATCAATGTCTCGTTGAATCAATATGTTGATAACCTGTAAGGACACTGCATTTCTATCAATTAGGTAAGAACGAGCTGGAGTCAGTGAGCGCTTTCTATCCAAGCTCGTCTCAGCATTCCGTTCACATCAATAACCAGTTCTCAGCTCCAGCGCTTCATTTCAGACCCAGCTTGAAGTCCGACTAGATTTCAGCTTATCACCTGTGTCAAAAGGAGAAAAGGAGTTCATCTATTGTGACTGTTAAAGGGTGGGGGGGGGATTCCACACATGTTACTGGGATGTCTCGTTGGGATCTGTTAAATATCTTTTAAGTTTTATGACAAACAATTAATGTTAAACAGGTTGTTGTTTTCTGGTGAGGAAACGAATATGAGCAGGTCAACTTGAGAAATAGAAATCAACATTAAATATGAAATAGCTCAATATCCCAAGGACAAATAATGTTTCACGTAGGCTTCTCGTATAATTCACGTATGCTTCACGTATGCCCTTTGATTTAGCTCTCAGTTTGTTCATTAAGCTCTAGTATGAATAATTACGTTTGATTAGAGAGGGAAATCCTTAGTTTGTTGTTGATGGCCTTCGTTGCTGAGGGACGTGGTTAGACAGGCGTGCAGAGCTCCCAGTGGTTTTGATAAGTGAGAGCATTTCGGGCTGAACAATGGGAGAGGAAGGTAAATGGTTGGCTGCAGTTAAATCTTTTCTTTGAAACTTTCAAATTTCATTTTTTAAAAAAAAAATTGGTATCAGGTTTAATCGACACCTTCTCGTAGTACCAGAATATTTTCTCGTAAAAAAAAAAAACGTATCTCATGATTAAATATAACAACATTTCTGACTTATAAACACTTTAAAATGTAATCAAATATTTAAAAAAAAAAAAATTACATTTTGATTGATTCGCAGGCTAAAGAGAAAGGCTGGGATGGAATAAATGACTACACGCCCCGGACAACAAAATGGACGTACCCTACAGCCCTGCTCTTCTCGGTTACTATCATTACAACTATAGGTAAGACTTCGGCCGCCAGAGGGGAGTTGGGTCTGCGCTGCCGATGCGTTCTTACTGTGGAAACATGAAGTTTTCTTCCATTTGTAACTGCTAATTTAGAGCAGACGACCGCGTGATGACGTACCGATGACAGGAAGTTAAAAATAGATATTCTTTAAAAAAAAAAAAATATAAAAAAAATAAAGATGTTAAACACAGAGAGCAGAGCTTTGTTGTCCAGGCACTGCGCCCATGGGCGCCTGCAGTGGGGGGGGCAAGGAGGGCACTTGCCCCTCCCCCCCCCCCCCGGCTTGATTGGATAAAAAAAATTTAGACACAAATAGACAAAAAATTTATTAAAAAAAAGAGAAAATAAAGAGAAAGTAATTAAGCTGATGTCCTGTCCCTTCGTTCCCCATATAAATACGCTACAGTAAATTAAAACTATATTAAAACATTACTAAAAATTTTTGCCCCCCCCCCCTGGAAAGTTAATCGATTTTTTTGCCCCCCCCCCCCTCCTAGAAAGTTTTTTGCGGGAGCCCATGACTGGGCCCGTTGTTGTGTGGTATGTTGGGGGGGGGGGAACCTCTCTCTGACAGATTAAACGGAATTCGTTTAATGACATCAATTTTCCAGCGTAGTTCACGGTCGGTCAGTCATCTGCGAATTTGGTGTTCAATCAGTACCTAACACATTATCTTGATTGGGATAGTGCAGTTATCAGTGTGATTGGGATAGTGCAGTCCTTAGTGTGATTGGGATACTGTGGCAAAACAATCTTTAAAAGATGAGTATATAGCTCCAAAATCTCTTCCACCGCCTAGCAACTACTTCCAGATGGCGCCTAGCAACTATTTCAAGGTGGCGCCTAGCAACTATTTCTAGGTGGCGCCTAGCAACTATTTCTAGGTGGCGCCTAGCAACTATTTCTAGGTGGCGCCTAGCAACTATTTCTAGGTGGCGCCTAGCAACTATTTCTAGGTGGCGCCTAGCAACTATTTCGACAGATCGATGGATTTTCTGGACAAAGCTCCAAACAACGCTTTCGGATCTAATTTTTTTTTATAAATAATGATGTCTCGCTGCATAGAATAGCAATTATATGTGAAGAGAGGGGAGAGAGAGAGAGAGAGAGAGACAGAGAGAGAGAGAGAAAGTAAGAGAGAGAGAAAGTGTGTGCGAGAGAGACAGTGAGAGAGACGGAAAGTGAGAGCGAGAAAGTGAGAGAGAGAGAGAAAGTGTGTTTGTGTGAGAGAGAGAGAGAAGAAGAGAGAGAGAGAGTCGGAAAGTAAGAGAGAGCGAGAGTGAGCGAGAGAAAGTGTGTGTGTGAGGAGAGAGAGGGAGAGAAAGTGAGAGAGAGAGAGAGACGAAGATAGAGAAAAAGTGAGAGTGGGAGAGAGAGAGAGTCGGAAAGTAAGAGAGAGCGAGAGTGAGCGAGAGAAAGTGTGTGTGTGAGGAGAGAGAGGGAGAGAAAGTGAGAGAGAGAGAGAGACGAAGATAGAGAAAAAGTGAGAGTGGGAGAGAGAGAGAGTCGGAAAGTAAGAGAGAGCGAGAGTGAGCGAGAGAAAGTGTGTGTGTGAGGAGAGAGAGGGAGAGAAAGTGAGAGAGAGAGAGAGACGAAGATAGAGAAAAAGTGAGAGTGGGAGAGAGAGAGAGTCGGAAAGTAAGAGAGAGCGAGAGTGAGCGAGAGAAAGTGTGTGTGTGAGGAGAGAGAGGGAGAGAAAGTGAGATAGAGAGAGAGACGAAGATAGAGAAAAAGTGAGAGTGGGAGAGAGAGAGAGAAAGTGTGTGTGAGAGAGAGAGATAGAGAGACGAAGATAGAGAAAAAGTGAGAGAGAGAGAGAGAGAGAGAGAGAGAGAAAGTGTGAGAAAGAGAGAGAGAGAGAGCGCGTTGGAAATTAAATCTGCAAAGCAATTATTTAGGGAGCAGATTGGATTGATGGAGAGAGGTCGCACTCTAACGTTTTACTCCTGATAGTTGAAATTAAAAAAAAAAATGCCTTGATACAAATATAACTAAGATATTTTTTAAAACTCTTTTACATTAATGGATATGTTTGTGAGCTCAAAACACAAGGCAGTGAATTGTAGCTTTGACTTTCTGTTCTTAAGCTAAAACACAAGGCAGTGAAATGTAGCTTTGACTTTCTGTTCTTAAGCTCAAAACACAAGGCAGTGAAATGTAGCTTTGACTTTTTGTTCTTAAGCTCAAAACACAAGGCAGTGAATTGTAGCTTTGACTTTCTGTTCTTAAGCTCAAAACACAAGGCAGTGAATTGTAGCTTTGACTTTCTGTTCTTAAGCTCAAAACACAAGGCAGTGAATTGTAGCTTTGACTTTCTGTTCTTAAGCTCAAAACACAAGGCAGTGAATTGTAGCTTTGACTTTCTGTTCTTAAGCTCAAAACACAAGGCATTGAATTGTAGCTTTGACTTTCTGTTCTTAAGCTCAAAACACAAGGCAGTGAATTATAGCTTTGACTTTCTGTTCTTAAGCTCAAAACACAAGGCATTGAATTGTAGCTTTGACTTTCTGTTCTTAAGCTCAAAACACAAGGCAGTGAAATGTAGCTTTGACTTTCTGTTCTAAAGCCCAAAACACAAGGCAGTGAAATGTAGCTTTGACTTTCTGTTCTTAAGCTCAAAACACAAGGCAGTGAAATGTAGCTTTGACTTTCTGTTCTTAAGCCCAAAACACAAGGCAGTGAAATGTAGCTTTGACTTTCTGTTCTTAAGCCCAAAACACAAGGCAGTGAAATGTAGCTTTGATTTTCTGTTCTTTAGCTCAAAACACAAGGCAGTGAAATGTAGCTTTGACTTTCTGTTCTTAAGTTCGAAACACAAGGAAAATCCTGTTAATCGAAATTTCATGAAACTTTCTGAAGTCAAAATATCAGTTTCCCATCCAAAGAAACACGCTTTCCCATTTTACAAAAGCATATCGGCAACATGGAGATTGACTTCTTGGACAGGTTCACATAATGGCACGTTATTCCGCAGCTAATGTCAGGCGCAGATTCAAAAAAGTTTTGGACTTGCTAGCATGGATTAAGGCTATACAATCGTCATGTGCATACCATGTCTAAAAAAAAACAACAACACCCGAATACATTTCAACTGCCGATGAAGCATTACAAAATTCTTGAAAATCTTTCATGTAATATGAAATGATCCTAAAGATAAGTGAAATAATAAAGGATTTATTACGAATAGATTCGCATTTATTTTTAAAAAGAGCCGATGCTACACCAGAGACGCAGGTTGCTGACCACTGAGGTCTTCTTCAGTTCACCACACCAAGGGATTGCAGACGAAAGCTGGCTAAAAAAATCACACATAACTCTGCGGAGGAAAGTAGGGCGTCCCAAACTGATGTCACAGCATGAAATTTGACGAGTCCCAACGCGACGTGTTGAGTGGTTCCCAAAATTCAGAATGGCTTAGCGGCAAGTGTTTGGAATCAAAACTTATATTTTTTTAAAACGATCACTGGTTTACGTCATGCCGTATGTTCTGCGTGGATTCCTCAGGTTACGGTGACCTCGTCCCCATCACGTCGGAGGGAAAGATCGCCAGCATGCTGTACGCGGTGTTCGGCATCCCCCTGGTCCTGCTGTGTCTGACCAACCTCGGCTCGTTCCTGGCCACCTTGTACCGCTTTACCTGGAAGCACGCGTCTCACCTGTGGTACATGTGCCTGAGGTCGCCTAAACGTGAGTACATGTCTGAAACTGTGGTACATATGTGTCTGAGGTCAACTAAACGTGAGTACATGTCTGAACCTGTGGTACATGTGTCTGAGGTCAACTAAACGTGAGTACATGTCTGAACCTGTGGTACGTGTGTCTGAGGTCACCTAAACGTAAATACATGTCTGAACCCGTGGAACATGTGCCTGAGGTTGCCTAAAGATAAGTACATGTCTGAAGCTGTGGTACATGTGTCTGCGGTCGCCTAAACGTGAGTCCATGTCTGAGAGCGGTCGATCATGAAGGAAAATAGTGTGAGCATTGTGTTGGTTATATTTTAACACATCTCTCCCCCATTGCACACGTTTCGTTGTCCGTATACCATAGTTAGAAATAAGTAGACCTCTTTTTTTATGCGAACCAAATGTTTAACTATGAATAAGTTTGTGTCGGATCGTTATTATTTTTCGAAAAGAAGATCGTTATTTAAGACAAACAAAAAGCTTTACGACTTTGAGCAGTAAACATGTGAACATGTAAGCAGTAAACAAATTATTTTTTTCCCATGATGAGGCTGCCTAACTGGATTTCTCAACCAACATTGTCTTTTCAGTGTTAGCGTACAGCTTACGTAGGCTATCGAATTATAATAACGTGTCTAATCTGCTGCTTTGTTCTAGTCTTGGTGATTGAGGTCATTTTACTCAACATTTGTATACCTCAAACAATAACCAAAATTTAAAGAGAAAACCAACAAAAAGTTTAAAAAAAAAAAATCTTCTCATCTTCCTGGGTCGACAGGTACATTGTAGCCAAAATTTCGATCAAATATTTTTTTTTCTTTCCTGTCACTCGTCTAGAGCGTCAGATACAGATCTTTTGACAGAACTGTTTCTGTCACCGGGCACCCAAGAGGGAATCTCTATTTATATATTCTATACGTGAAAGCCCAGCACGATTTCCCCAGACAATGTCTGTCTTGATGTTTTCTTCTCACCAGGCAACCGACCCATGGTGCAGACGTCCGAGGTCCGAGTGCCCATAGCCGTGTCAACGCTGACCATGATCATCTACATTCTGGCCGGCGCGGCTGTGTTCGCCAAGTGGGAGAACTGGTCGTTCCTGGACGGCTCCTACTTTTGCTTCATCACCCTCAGCACGATTGGCTTTGGTGATTTCGTGCCCGGCCAGGTAAAGGCTGTCGTACCTTGGGTCCAATCCCGTCAGTAAAAAAGGGTTTCATTGATTAAGTAAGAGCCCTTGTCCGTGGTCAAAATGTCCATACCCCCGACCTCATCCCGTACACAAAACTAGCTTTTTGGGTTGAGCAAATAATCCAATGATACTAATGATCTTCTCTGTGTCCACTTATAAAATGTAGAATTGTTCTGATCCGTCTTTTGACTTGGTTCTACAAAGGTGTCAAGCCTGATGAAGTAAGGGGGGATAATTGGAGGGTAGCAGTTATTTGTTCGTTGTTTCATTTTTATATTTACAATTGGGGCCGGAAGCAAAGTAATTAATTTTTAAGGCATCAAGCAGTCAAGGCGAAAAAAAAAGGGACATTTTTTTTAATTTGAAAAATGTCATTTGGAGGGGGTGGAGTGGGGGTGGAGTTCCTGCATTTATTTTTTCCACTTTATCTTTTACCGTAGATAGGTGAGTGCAACAGATAGCTTATGTGTTTTGTGCGTCAAGAGGTCTTAGTCTCACAACTTATCCACTCTAGCTTAGTCTGGTCTTAAATCTAGCGAGGTCAGGCAGTTGCTGTTCATTTTTTTTTTAGAGAATGGGATTACATGTAACAAAGAAAAATATTTGGACCCATTAGGGACTACATTAACGATTTTTAAACGACTATTGCTCTTGTTAGGTCTCTATAAATTCCGCCAGCCCCAACCAGATTTAACGCTACCTAGTATTTTTCCCCCCTCCCCTTTCCTCATATAACCGTTCACTTCTAGAACCATTAATTTAAAACAAAACAAACAAACAAACAACATTTTTTTTACCCTTAAACAATAAAACATAAATTTAAAAAAGTGAAAACTGCCTGTGCTCACTTACGCACAGAGACGACGCATGCCTTTTTGAGGACCATTGACACTTTTCGGGTTTGTGCCCTTTCCATTCGAAGCTCATAGTTTTAAAATCATTTACATATCCCGAATTTGGGGCCCATTAAATATTTCAGGCCCACTGCAGCCGAAGGGTTTGCAAGGCCCACGCGATCGCTCTTCTTTGTTATGTATGCAAAAATCCATTCTGTCGTATGTGTCATTGTACAGGCATATCCACATATTTTCACTCCGACCGCAATAGCAATTTTCCGCGACTGTTTGATTTACCGAAATTTAAAGTTAAATACTGTTTTTATTTATTTATTTAAATAAAATGCAACTTATCCTACCATGTAGTAAGACGTTTTTTTCTCATACGCCTAAGAATAAAATTCGTGACTTGTACTTCATATCTTTAAAAAAAAAAATTATGTATAAATTGACAATTTTATTATTTAAAAAAAATTTAATTACAGATGACGATGACATCAACAGATTTGCTAGTCGTACTAGTACAGCAGTTCTCAACCTGTGGGTCGTAACCCCTTTGGTTGGGGGTCGCACGACCCATTTCCAGGTGTCGCCTACGACCTCTTGAACACACATATGCTCTACAGTTATGAAGTAGCAACGAAAATAATTCTGTGGCTGAGGAACTGTATAAAGGGTCGCGGCAATATGGAAGGCTGAGAGCCACTGTACTAGTAGAGTGTCCGCACAGGGGTGTTTTAAACAATTTGTTGTGGTGTCATATCCTTCTTAAAAGGGTTTATTGTAACAAAATATGAAGATTTCCCTCTCTGTAAATCACACACACTTGAACCGTGAGTCAACATTGCACTGTGCGAGCAAGTACTGCTCTGTGTGTTTCATCGGGGCCCTGTTCTGCTCAGAATTACTCCATCTTGTTCAGAACTGGCCCGTCATGTTTAGCAATGCTACATCCATTTTATCAAAAATATCTTTGTCAGCATTGCTCCGTCTTTGTCAGCATACCTCCGTCTTTGTCAGCATTGCTCCGTCTTTGTCAGCATACCTCCGTCTTTGTCAGCATTGCTCCGTCTTTGTCAGCATACCTCCGTCTTTGTCAGCATTGCTCCGTCTTTGTCAGCATTGCTCCGTCTTTGTCAGCATTGCTCCGTCTTTGTCAGCATACCTCCGTCTTTGTCAGCATTGCTCCGTCTTTGTCAGCATTACTCCGTCTTTGTCAGCATTGCAACGCCTTGTTTAACATATTGCTGTTTAGCTGAGAACGGATCCATCTAGCGTAGCTAGTATTTTACATTTTGCTTACTTTATACAACTTTAAAGATTGTTTAACATTGTTCACCTCCCCCCTCCCCCCTCCCCGCTAGTTCAAACTTTGCATTTTTTTTTACTTTGTTATAAATCTAAAAAATCTAATAGTAAATCTCTTCCCGCTAACATCCACGCTTCGTTAAATTTAAAGAAAAAAAAAATCTCATCTCCAACATTCGACCAAAATGCCACCTTAAAGAAGACCATTTAAAAAATCTCCGAGACTCCACAAAACCCACTATTTTAAGTCAAACTTATTCACTTTTTTTATAGTTGCAACATCAAATTTAGGAATGTGAGAGAAATATAAGCATTTAAAAAAAAAAAAGAAAAATCTTTAAATTTGCGCTGGCAATTGAAAGTGTTTGTGATGGCTTATCAAGTCTTATGATTTGATTGCCTTGTGTCAAGAAGCCTTTGGTCAGCGTGTATTCACGCGATTAAAAAGAAAGGGTGGGGTAAAAAGGGGGGGGCAGGAGGAAGGAGCGCTGTGATTTTTTTAAGGCTCTTCAGATTCTGTCACCCAGCAGAACTTTATTGCGAGGCACGCCTCAATTTGACTTTTAAAAAACATTCTCTACACTTTCTCATACGTTATCGGTTTTTTCCTCCACATAACCTAGAACACGATCTCAATGGACTCGACGGCCAAACGAGTCGTGTGCGCCCTCTACCTCCTCTTCGGCCTGGCTCTCCTGTCCATGATCTTCCAGCTCATTCAGGACTCGGTGACCATCGTCGTCCGCCGCTACGCCAGCTTCCTGGGCCTCAGCGAGAAACAGATCGAGAAGGACATCGAGGACTCCGTCGACGCCAAGGATGAAGACGACCCGGCGGATCCCGCAAAGGAAAACGGGGCCGTCGCCACCAAAGGCGAGGTTAGCGAAAACGGGACCGAGAAGCCGACGGTTTCAGACGACGGCGTGCCGGCCACGGCCACCGGCAGGCGCTTCCGGGCGTTGGCGAAAACCACCAGGTTGCTGAGACGGGAGTCGTGCCCTGTGAACGATTCGGTGGCCGCGCCTCAGAGCATCACCCGGCTGTACTCTGTGCCGGAAGTAGAACTCTCGAGGCAAATACTCTCGTTGAACGACAACAAACTTTCGACGGTGTCCGAGCACGAGAGTGCCGAGAATGTTAAGGAGGAGCTGTGTAAGAAGTACACGATTACAGATAGAAATGGGAACGGTGACCATGTGACAGGGTTGGACAATGGTGTCGAACAGTGAAGACATGGACTTCGGATATTTCTTTCTTTTTTTTTTTTTTTGAGGAGCATCAACTGCTTGTGATCTACCTTTACTAAAATGTACGCCCCAGTCGGTTAAAAAAAAAAAAAAGATTCACATGGAAACGTAAAAGATATTTAGTGTCGAACAGTGAAGACATGGACTTCGGATATTTCTTTCTTTTTTTTTTTTTTTGAGGAGCATCAACTGCTTGTGATCTACCTGTACTAAAATGTACGCCACAGTCGTTTAAAAAACAAAAAAAGATTCACATGGAAACGTCAAAGATATTTATCATATTCTTTCATTCATGCATATTGGAGAAAAAAGTCTGACAAGTTATGTCCCTTGACACCCCTGTTTTTCGTAAACATAGATGACCGGAGCCGTCGGGCATTGAAGATTCTTTTCCCATAAGCTTAGATTTGGATGATGGTTGACACCTCTGCTGGTGTTCATCAAAGTCTTGTCCGAGTTGTTGCAGAGTAATTTCACCATTTGGCCTTTTTTTCCCCCCAAAAAAACGAATAGAAGAATACATCAAGGACATGTTTTTATTTGGGGAAATATCAAGTTTAAAAAAAGAAAACAATGTAAACAAACCCTAATATTTTTTTCCATGGGTCCGCCACTGGATCGTCTCTAATGCACATCTCACATCTCAACTCTCACATCTCACATCTCGATTCCCTGAACTTACCATCACACACATCATGATTGCATCGCACACTAAATAATGCATCATCTTACATTGTTATCATCCCATGTACATAATAAATCAGCAAGTATTCAATCAATCTCAATATTAACTTCTCAAATTTTAACTTCCCACACATATATACACCCCCCCCCCCCCCCCCCCCCCCCCCACTCGGTTCACCACGAAATAATCATCAACATCTAAAGATGAACTCTTCATCAAATCCCTCAAAACTGATCGCAAATTTATCTTCAGCATTTTATTGGCGATATTGTCCCTGGATCACCGTTATTTAACTAAGAACTCGCTACCAATTATTCACAACTCACCAATCATTTCACCAACAGCTCACAGTCAATACGCTTCATAAACAAACGACTACGCACTACTCAACACACCGTAACCTACAACTCGCCATAGGATCATTAAAGCTCACCACCAACTCACTAGTACTCACCACCAAATCAACAATCCTTACCACCAACTCACCAATACTCACCAACTGTTCACTAATATTACCAGCTGGACAATACTCACCATCAGCTCGCCAATAATCACCACCAACTCACCAATACTGACAACCAGCTCACCAATACTGACCACTAGCTCACCAACACTCACCACCAGCTCACCAATACTCACCACCAAGTCACCAGTACGTCAGCTTACGTTTCTCCCTTGTTTACTTAATCCATCTAGTCACCATTGTTATGTTTGTCTTTTTATACCCTTCTGACTTTCTACCATCCATCACTCTATCCGTCCGTCTGTCTATCTGTTCTGTCCGACTATCTCTCTCTTTCTCTCTCTCTCTCTCTCTCTCTCTCTCTCTCTCTCTCTCTCTATCTATCTATCTCTCTCTCTTTCTCTCTCTTCCATTGTTCTGTTTTATCTATGTCTGTCTCACTATCTTTCTTTTTCTCTATCTTTCTTTTTCTCTATCTACCTCTCAATTTTTTATCCCTCTTCAGGTCTTTCTCTTTGTTTTTTTCTTCTCTCTCTCTATCGGTTTCGCTCTCTCTCTCTCTCTTTCTCAATGCCTTTCGTCCTTTGTTCTATAGCCCTTTTGTTCAATAGCCCCTTTGTTCTATAGCCCCTTTGTTCTATAACCCCTTTGTTGTATAGCCCCTTTGTTGTATAGCCCCTTTGTTGTATAGCCCCTTTGTTCTATAGCCCCTTTGGTCTAAAGCCCATTTGTTCTATAGCCCCTTTGTTCTATAGCCCCTTTGTTCTATAGCCCCTTTGATCTATATGCCCTTTGTTCTATAGCCCCTTTGTTCTATAGCCCCTTTTTTCTATAGCCCCTTTGTTCTATAGCCCCTTTGTTCTATAGCCCCTTTGTTCTATAGCCCCTTTTTGTATAGATTTGTTCTATCGCCCCTTTGTTCTATAGCCCCTTTGTTCTATAGCCCCTTTGTTCTATAGCCCCTTTGTTCTATAGCCCCTTTGCTCTATATGCCCTTTGTTCTATAGCCCCTTTGTTCTATAGCCCCTTTTTTCTATAGCCCCTTTGTTCTATAGCCCCTTTGTTCTATAGCCCCTTTGTTCTATAGCCCCTTTTTGTATAGCCCCTTTGTTCTATAGCCCCTTTGTTCTATAGCCCCTTTGTTCTATAGCCCCTTCGTTCTATAGCCCCTACCATTAAATAAAAACTGCACTTGATCTCTTAAAGAAAGCATCTTCTGATATGATGTAAGCGAGTCGGGATTCCTGTATAAACTTCTGATAATTACACTGTCTCATTACACCTGCTCATTAATTAAACTGTCTCATTACATCAGCTAAATGATTACACTGTCTCACTACACCTGCTAAGTGATTACACTGTCTGATTACACGTGCTAAATGATTACTGCGTCTCATTACACGTGCCAAATGATTACACTTTCTCATTACGCCTGCTAATTAATTAAACTGTCTCATTACACCAGCTAAAGGATTACACTGTCTGATGACACGTGCTAAATGATTACTCCGTCTCATTACACCTGCCAAATGATTAAACTTTCTCATTACACCTGCTGAATGAAAACACCGTCTCATTGCACAAGCTACTTGACTGCACTGCCTTATTGCACCTGCTAAATGACTTAACCGTCTCTTTGCACCTGCCAAGTGATTACACTCTCTCTTGTTATACCTAGCGAATATGCTAATAAAAACAATTTTTGCCCTGTATTCAATCATTTTTTTTATATCACATTATAATTCTGGAATTAAACATGACTAAAACAATCCTTAAGCAACGGAGCACATTCATGCTCTGCAATTGTTCAGTACTTATCTCTAAGTCACACATGGGATTTACACATTTTTTTTTACAAGATGGTTTTCCTCACCAGGACATCCTTGAGTAAACGTTCACAAAGCAAATTGGCCAGTCCCTATGTCGTGGACGGAGCGGAAACCATAAACAAAAGAAAGGGATAAGGTTTTATCAGTTTATTGAGAAGTTTATGGGTCGCTCCTATTTTAAATGTGTCTTTGGGTTTTTGAAGTTTAACAAAGATGAGTAAAAAAAAATTAAAAAAATTAAAGACATTTTTGAGAACTTTCAACAAACATCTGACTTTAAAATCCATTGACTTGGTTAGAAAAATAAAATGTGTGCATTTGATATGTGAAATAAATGCATAAAAAATAATTAAAAAAATATAATTAAAAGCACTTTCTGTAGAAATAGCAATGGAGCAGTTGTTTGCTTGACGTGCGCACGACCAGACCAGTCGCTAAGAGCTGCTCACACGCAGCACGAGGACAAATGACACACGGGTGTTGTACGACACGTATTGTGAGACAATTTACACAGCGACGTCTAATGCCAACAACGGTAGTAAAAATAGTATTGACAAGACAAGAGATGCTGACGTAAACGGTTTGTGAAGCCTCGAGGTGGAGCCAGCGCAGTCATCAGTTATCAAAACGTTAAATTTTTAATTTAAAAAAAAATTAATTTCATTGACGAGAAGAAAAGAACACTTCCTATGTGCAAAAAGTACTTGACTTTGAAACCCATGTGATATTTTATAAGTGAAACAATCAAATGTCGAAAATGGTGTAAGGACTAAGGAATGTATAACATGAAAGGACTCATTAATGCATAAATAATGTTTAACGAGAGATTTAGATTCTGTCTTAAAATTCTTTTATTGGAAAAGTTTCAAGATTTTCAACTGCATTATATTAAATAAGTGTATATATTCTTCTATATATATGTCGTTAGAAAGTGCTTAATTATTCACTTTTTGATCTAGAATTCTAGAATACGTGTGTTTCACTGTCCCCCCCCCCCCAAACAGATAAACGTGATGAATCCCCTCAAAATTTTAGTAGATTAGATTGTATTAAAGATCCATGCAGTTTGCAGGTCTTCAGCCCTCTAAAGTTGGGGACATAAGTATAAAATTGGACTTTAAAAGAGTCTGAACAGACATCCATACTTGCATCATAAAAATTGCGATAATATTTTTCACCCATAGAGGTCGAAAATACCTGGAATTTATTTCATCACTTCATTTTTGGTTGTGATTACATTAAAAAAAAAAGTTCATCTGAACCCGTCGAGAGGTAGACACTAGAGTGGTAGACGCTAGAGTGGTAGACACTAGAGTGTTAGACGCTAGAGTGGTAGACGCTAGAGTTGTTTAAATAAGGAACTAACGAAACAAAGTATGGGCAAACCTGAACCAAAAAGACGCAACGAAACAACCAATGTGTCGACAAGAAGCCTTTTTCAGCGAACACACAACAGTATAAACAATATAAACATTAAAGAAATACTTAGCTACAATGTAGTATCTGTAAGGACAGCAAGAGGAATGTGATAGAATAATAGTAGGTTAGAAATTTAATACGGGGAATGTGCGACGGAAGTGAGGAAAAAAAAGACACTCCGTTTTGTTGTAGCAAGGAAGGGACGGAGAAACAGGCTATACAAGTAAGAGAACATGACATTCATGGCCCGTGGTGCCACATAAGCCTGAATCAGTTTGTTTTCCAAGTTCACCTTATTGGCGTGTTGGTACAAGACACAATAGAGGTGATAGTCTTATCCCCGGCGCCATTATGACAACTTATCCATAGACCCATTGGATGCGGCACTGGTACAGTTGTGCCACCGTTTTATTTGAAAATTCTCTGTGTATGTATGTATACTTTCTGTAACGTATTAAATAAATATTTACGCATGATTTAGGTGAAGTTTTGTAACCTTTTAATGAGACTCAAATTGTTGACTTAATTTGTTTGTAGTTTTTTTTTTTTTTTATACATGTGAAATAATCATGAATACCATGCCACATGCTAGCGTTGAAAAAATAATACCACTGGACGAAGGTTAAATAAAAGCGTGTAATAAGGGAACAAAATTGGGACACTGGAAGACCAAAGATTTTATGGACGAAGGTTACTTTTGTGACTTAGAGACAGGACTTGTCGTTTTTAAAAGATTTTTATATGAAATTCGCTTTAAAAAAAATAAAAAAATTCCTGAGAGTGCATAGGGGAGTGAAAGGGTGAGGACGCTTGGGGGGGGGGGGCAGTGACGTAACCTGGGGAATGATTTGGGCTAGAGGCGGTGGAGCTGGGAGGGAAGAATTTACTTAACACACACACACATACACACACCCTCACTTTGCTGGTCATCATCTACTGCATTCTGTTCTATTTTAATTCGTCTTGACCTAATCCTTGCCACTGGATCAGACAGGCCAGGACGAGAGAAAGAGGCTGTCGAATGAAGCAACTATCTGTAACTTGAAAATAAAATACAAATACAGCTCAAGCCAAGGCTACCAAGTCACGTCGAAAATTGCCTGGGTCATCGCCACGTGCGAAGGACAGACAACATCCCCCTTTATTTAAAAAAACCCCACAGAAACACAAATATTAGTCAAGAAAGACTAGACACCTTTATTTCCTCACAGTTATTTACCCTTCTGTTTCACCTACACCCGAGGTTCAGTCAAGTATTGAAACACCCAACTAGGGGGCGCAACCAACTTCAACACGAATCGATAGATCTACAAACATATTCTTTAATAAAGAACGCATTCAGATGACTGATGTAAAAAAAATAAATTATAGGAATCAAAAGAAAAGAACATTTTCTTTGTGTGGTCCATTGTTAAGTCAGCTATCTTCCACCCCCACTTCCACCCCCCACCCCGATCTTCTTTATAATTTAATTTAGTATTAGACGATAATTTCACAAATATCCTTTGAGTATAAAAAAATGTATGCAATATTTTATCTGTCGTATTATATAATTGTGTAAAATTTGAAAATTGTGATCAAAAGAAGGTAAAAGAAAGAATGTGGGGAAGACATTAATGTTACTGCATGAAACCCATTAAGTTTAAGGTCACGAATAATCCTTGTGTGACGCATCAAATTATAAAGATAAATCGATGGATGTGGCAATTCCCGAACTGATACTTTGCTTTGACTATCCTTTCTGACATATGGTTGGGTTGAACTGATTCCATTTATCTAGACTAATGAGTGCCTACAAATGCGACTTTGATGAATTTAATTAACGTCAATTTCACTCTGTTTCTTTTGATTCGATCCTGCAACCGATTGCTTAATTGGTGACTCTGAGCTCCCTCAATTTTTAATTATGTTCGTCTCAAACAAATGTCATATATTTTAAAATAATTATAAAGCTGATACTTATTCTATAGTGAGTAAAAAAAAAATATATGAAAGGGCTGGCTAGATAACCATGCTAGCCTACTGAATGCCACTGGTGTACTGAAGCACTTTGAGATTCAGCTCGATAGAACTTTATATATTAACAAAAAAATCTTCCTTAAAAATTATTTTGTGGCTCAAAATTATACTCTTTCAAATTTAAAAATTTAAATACAATTTTTTAAAATAACTTTTCCATTACATCAAATGGGTAACAAAACAAGAACAGTTAAATAAAATAAAACAATCGCTACAAATTGCCGGTGACAAATATTCTGTTTCCGTCAATTTTGGAAAGATAACGTCTAGATATTTTAATATTGCGAATCTAAAAATGGAAATTAAATTGAAATGAAGCTTTCAGCCCGGACAGTAAATAGTTGCACGGTCAAATGTGAACGTTGTTTGTAACATTTTATCATTACTTTTTTTTTTTAGTTCGTGTGCACCGACTGGTGCTTGAGGCCAGGACTCAGAAAGAACCTCGGCTACTCATGCAAGGAGCTGTCTGCGGAATTAGGTTTCCAGTCCTCAGATCTTTGTGTGGTTTCCTCTTCTCCAGTGCTTTCGAAATGAGTATCAGATTAGGAAGAGTGATCAGTGAGATCCACGCGGAGCTTTCGAACTGAAAATCGGACTAGGAATTGTAATCAGTGAGATCCACGCGGAGCTGTCGAACTGAATAGTGTAATCAGTGAGATCCACGCGGAGCTGTCGAACTGAATAGTGTGATCAGTGAGATCCACGCAGACAAACGTGCTATAGGAAACCCATCCGCCTCCACGATTTCCACTAGAATTTTCCCACGTTACCCTTAAACCGAACGTCCGCAAAAGCTCAATGGAGGTTCAAACTTCAGACCGGGGTGGACTGCTCCTCATCGAATCACCCCTGGGGCTGATCGGCGAAGAGGTCATGACCTGGCTCCAATATATCGGCCAGGCTCTCCCGGTCTTGACGCTTCTGGGCATCATTACCAACACGATGAACCTGTTCGTCTACACCCGACTCGGCTTCAACAACGCCGCCAATGTCAGCTTCTGTGCGCTGTCCGCTTCGAGCCTTTGCTGCCTGCTCGTCTATTTTTACTCGCTGGTCTTGATCTACGTCAACTTGACGTGGACGCCTCCGACGGTGTCCTTGACCGACCTGAACTACGTGACGTCGTGGTACTACCGGATGTTTTACGACATCTCCGTCGTCATGACAACGTTCATCGCGATTCAGAGAGGTTGCTGCGTGGCGTTTCCGTTTTATTTCAAAGATTTCTTCACGCTCGTGCGCGTGGCCTGGTCCATATTAGGGATCTGTCTGCTCGGACTCGTCTGCTACATGCCCGTTTTCACCACAGCTGTTATGGCAAGCGCACAAAACTCGATGACGAACTCAACGAAAACGAGGCTCATTTTTCAAAACGGAGGACGGGAAGCCGTCGCCGTTGTGGACGTCCTCAAGAAATTCGTACTCACTTTCGCTGCTGAATTTCTGGGAGTCTGCTCTATGACGGCCATACAGCTCGGGATGCAGGCGGCTTCTCAGTTCAAAAGGGGTGGGGCTCCGGTTTTCGTCCGTAAGAAACACGTCAACGGAAACGATGACGTAGTATCACAAGATCACCACCCCGCCCGTGGGCTGGACAACCCGCACACGCGTGCCAGAGAACTTCGCGTGGTCAAACAGGTGATGGTCGTCACGGCCCTGTTCGTCACGTGCAACACGCCCCAGATGGTGGCGTCGGTGGTGGCCCGCGTCGTGCCCGGCGTGGACATCGACGGGCGGAACAGGAACCTGTTCTGGTTGATGTACACGGTCGTCAACATCTTTGAGCTGTTCAACAGCTCGGCGAACTTTTTCATCTACTACGCGTTCAACACCAGATTCAGAGAAACGGTACACCCGACATGCTGCAGCAAGTAGAGGCCTAATGCTCGAAACTTCCAATGTTCAAGGTGGTATTCTTTTGTTACATTTTGTTTAAAGGGTTTGGAAGCCAGTGTGGCACTGGCCGATCCTAAAAGATAGTGATTAGTACGAGTTGTTTGCTGAACCTTATAGGGCACATGAGATGAATAGCATTTTAACAGAGCTTATACTTACACAACCCATAAAAGCAACGTTTTTCGTTTAAATCCATTATATGCATTGTTCATTATTTTAGTTTACATTAATATTCTAATGTCCCAACGAGCTCTTACACCGCAGATGTATTTCAGTATTTCAGTATTTCAGTATTTCAGTATTTCAGAAAAACAAAAGAAAATATAACGCACTAATCACACTTGGGATATACAAAAACCAAAAAAAAAAAAAAAAATTCAATTAGCACAAATAGTGGGACAGACTATCTGTCGGATTTAGTTTACATTAATATTCTAATGTCCCAACGAGCTCTTACACCGAAGATGTATTTCATTATTTCAGTATTTCAGTATTTCAGTATTTCAAAAAAACAAAAGAAAATATAACGCACTAATCACACTTGTGATATTCAAAAACCAAAAAAAAAAAAAAAATTCAATTAGCACAAATAGTGGGACAGACTATCTGTCGGGCGACATATTCTGCTTGGTGACACATTATTCTGCTTGCGGACACACTATTTTTTTCCTTGTAACACACAATTCTGCCAGATGACACACTATTCTGCTGGGTCACGCATGATTCTGCTTGTTGACACACAATTCTGCCTGGTGAGACACTATTTTCCATTATTTTCACATCCTTCTGGTGACGTCATTGTTCTGGTATTGTTTAGATATTGCGATGGTCTACTATAACATGATAAAATATGACTATTTCAGTCGTGACTTAAGTCATGTGATAAGGTTTTTATGACAATGGTTACTGCATAATGGATGAAATGTGTCAACGATGCATTGTCAAGTGAAATCTGTATCAGGTGTACTGAGCCAAACTGCATTAAGGTTCGTGTAGTTGGAATAGTGCACTGTGGGTTTTTTTGTCGGGTGTGGGGGATGGCCTGACATTATCACGAATTCAGTGACAGCAAGTTGATGAAATGTTTACAAACCCCGAGTGAGCCCTACGAGGAGGTCGTCTGATGGTGACAAGATGTCAATCTTTAATCACAGACCGAGCCGTCCTTGACCCACGGAAAGTTTTTAATGATTTACTGACACTCTTGCCAGAGAAAATATTAAAACAGATTATTGGTGGTATTTAGTTTAGCGAGTGAACAGCCCTTCGCCATTCCATTACTGGACACAATTTGAGCCCTTATTTGAAAAAGAAATATTTCAGTCTTTGTATTTTGTAACAATCATTGGTGATGATGATGTAACTTGTAATATATAGTTGTAGTAATAATTATTAACGTTCACAAAGCACGAGGAGAAGTCCACTGATTTAGCATCACAATTCATTTTATTATAAAAAAATTACACTACATAAAATATATCTCCGAAAATTGGAGTAAAATATAATTGACGTTCTCTATTTACTTCACATATGACTTTCACACAGATCTATTGACTAAGTAATCCGTTGCTATAAGATGTATGGCAAAGAGTCTATCTTCAAACAAGCGCTTCCATTTTCACGTATCCCCTTCTACACTCTTGCTGCTCACTTCTGCACACAATAAACCTTTTTTATTTTATTTTTTTTTTAAATTCCTGTTCCTTCTAACTGTTTAAAAACAATACATTATTCCTAAACAAAATTATTATCTAAATATTTAATCTGTGACTTTTTTTTATTTCGGGATCAGGTTAAATGCCTAATATTATTCATAGAACAATTTGGATACTTACATTTTTTTGGTAAACAGACTAGCTTGCCCGTGGTTGCCGCCTAAATTGACTAATGTTGGATGGTTCGAAAAATCATGTTTGTTTCTGTCCAAAATCGATTCCAGTGAGTCAAGCAGGGTTAATTAAAACAGACCCAATAACATAGTTTTTAAAATAAAATTTATACTTGTAATCTGAGTAAAAAGCTTCAGCACAGCTTGGACTCAATACAAATAAAAAGCAAGACAAATATCATGAAGGTAAACTCAACAAACCAAGAGCATATCTTTCAGGCAGGAAATGCACTGGAAGAAGGGGCGGCCTTCAAATACTTATGCAGCACAATCGACATAAATGGCGGATTCGATGCGAATGAAAGGGCTAGAATTGGAAAATGTATATCAGGATTTGAACTATTAAAAAACATATGGGAGTTTAAGGAGCTGAAGCTGCAAACCAATTTAAGAATCTTCAACACATAATATAGTAATGCATAGAAATAGTATGCTATAGCTGCTGCATGTTATTAGTATACTATGTTTCTGCATGTTAATAGGATACAGTGGTTGTTTCATTTCAATAATATACTACTAGAATATAAGACCCGATGTTATCGGGATAATAATAATAATAGGTCCTTTGCGAAAATTTCTACCTGCTGTTGCAAAAACTCATCACAATTGCTAACTTTAATGAAAAAGTATATATGTAAAGATATTTAAGTTCGTAAAATCATTAAGTTTTGAGAATAATTTATCTGCTATATATTATACGCTACCCTACTCCCTTTCACCTTTGTTCCCTTCTACATGTTACCTTAAATTACCCAATCTAAAATATCACTTTTGTCACTAAAGAAGTTAATTAAGGGACGATTTCTACGCTAGAAATATACTTAAGATTTACTCCTTTTCGTGCCCTTGAACTACAATCTATTTTCTCTAAAAATTGTCAAAACATAATCTTAAACAAAACTTTTGTATACGATATAAATATATTTTATTTTTTAAGGAATTTGATATATTGATAACTTCATCAAAAATTGAAAAAAACGTATGCTTGTTTTTTTTTATACATACATTATCAGAAAATCGTTAAGCAAAGTATTCTTTTCCCTAAAGAAGAATCTCGCTACGGGTTTTCACGCCTAATCAGAGCTTTGGGTGTTTAAAAAAAAAAATGTTTATCTCATAAAAATACACACCCACTTTACTTTTCGCAAAGTAAAAACTAAAATATATATTTATTATTTTAAAGAAAATATGAACCAATCTCAAATTTTTCAATATTAAATTTTCAAGTGTATAAAATGATTGGGTTTTAGGGTATACTTATATAAATATAACCACATTTTGTTAACGCCATTGATTTTCATAATTGGTAGACATATGTTGTTGTTTTTTTGTTGTAAAAAGAGAATGTAACATCACTATTTTCAGAAATTGTATACCATAGCATTTAAAAATATTGTCATCCACGTATAAAATGCACACATCCTGTTTCCTACCTCCGTTACGTATGTACCCAAAAAAAGGCTCATTATTTATCAAATTCATTCATTCAGTTTGAGACGCATCTTGTGCTGCCTGGGGCAAAATGACCCCCCCCCCCAAATTTAAATAGAATTAATAAAATCTTCAAACGGATTGTAGTCATTTCATATTTAAACTAAAATATTTTGCACTTCATATGGTTTGTTCTTATTTGGATGAGTTATAAATGGATTAGTGAATACTATTTGCCTTATGAGTTTCGCTGCACTGATTGACTTAAACGGCATTTTCCTATTCGAAGTATATTTAAAGGTTAAGTTTTTATCATGTCATAAAATTTAATAAAAGTATATTTTTGGAATTAAACAGAGAAAAAACTTAATAAATGTCAAAAACACAAAGCTAAAATTTGTGTGTTTTATTAACAATTTAAAAAGCAATCAATTGTTTTTATTTATTTTACTTTAAGAAGGGGAAAATACGTTATCAGTTTTGTAACGCGCGGTTACTAAATCAGAGAAACTTTAGAGTTTCGGCTAAAAAAAGTCCATTCGCGCTATGACGTCTAATGTGTTTTTTTTTAGAATATTAACATTCAATGTTAACAACGCGCTAAAAAACGCACTAAAATCATTTAAGATTCCCAAATTTCGCAACTCCTCTTCATGCCCATAATACGCCACTGTACACTTTTTATTTCACGCCCATTGAATATATTAATACACACACTTGATTTATCTTTTACTGGAATTTCAAAGTTTAGGTTGTTCATATTTGCATATTTTATGACTTTACGATCGTTAAATCTTTGCAACACAAAACTTGATCATATTGGAAATTTGTTAACAATAAAACGTATTGAGTTTTTAAATCTACAGAAAATATAACTTGGTGAAGTAGATATGACAAACTTATTCAAATCAGTACCCATTAGTTCAGCTCTTTACGTAGACAACTATAAATACTGCTGTCCTCAAATTTCTGGTGTCATAACACCTAGACACGCGTGCCACGCACCTCCAGAAGCATTCTCTTCATGTGAAGATCTCCTGAGTGATTCATTGAAAAGTTCAATTCTGTGGTTGGTGGCAGGCGTTTCATTGGCTGGGAACATCGTCGTCATCACCTACCGGTTATTTTATGACAAGGGCGTCTTCAAGAAAGATTACGGAATATTTGTCACACATCTGAGCGTGTCCGATTGTGTGATGGGCGTGTATCTGCTGATTATCGCCTCTACTGACGTCCATCACTGAGACGAGTATGTTCACCATGAAAGTGATTGGCACCATAGTGCCCAGTGTCAGGCTGCTGGGTTTCTGTCCACTCTCTCCAGTGAAACCTCAACCTTATATGTTTTTCTCATCACACCGGACAGATGTCTGGTCATCAGGTTTCCATTCGGTGAACACAGGTTTACAAAACCGAGCTTGGTTCTATCCGTTCTCTTTGCCTGGATCCTTGGATTCATTCTCGCTTCGATTCCACTTATATATCCAGAGTGGATAATATACTCATCCAATGGGATGTGTTTGGGCTTGCCACTAGCCATTGGCTTTTATCCTGGCTGGCATTATTCATTGGCCATTTTTATTTGCTTTAATTTTATTTTGTTCCTTTGCATCGCTTGTGGTCAGTTGTTCATCTTCCGTTTGATCTTTTCGGTTCACAGTCTTCAAATGCCCAATGCCCAAAGTGTTGCCAGGAGAATGCAGGACATCAACGTTGCTAAGCAACTGTAGTTGGTAGTGATGTCCAACTTCCTGTGCTGGTTTCCCATCTGCGCCTTAGGTTTCCTGTCGATGGCAGGATACGAGGTCAGTCCAGACACCTACGCCTGGTTGGTGGTTTTTGTCATGCCATCAAACGCGGCCGTTAACCCCATGATCTACACGATACCCGTTATGTACAGCAAGTGGCAGGACTTTAAGAAAGGGGAAACTATAAAGACTCATAGATGGGCCAATA